CGCGCACGCGGCCCTGCTCATGCGCGAGCACCCGTCCCTGAAGCGGATCCTGAAGAACCACGACTTCGACCGCGACCTGCCCGACGCGGACCGGCTCCACCAGGTCGCCATGCTCTTCGAGACGGGCGGGTTGGGCATCCGCAAGTCGCCCAAGGACGCGCTCCGGTTCCACAAGTTCGCGGCGGTCCTGGGCCACCACCGGTCCCAGGGCGTCATGGGCGAGTACTACGAGACGGGCACGACGGAGCAGCGCAACCCGCGGCGCGCCCGCGCGCTCTACCGCGAGTCGTCGCGCGCGAGCGACAGCCGCGCGCAGTACGACCTCGAGCCGCGAAAGGGTGGTGCGCTTCAACGCGGGCGCGCCCAAAAAAAAACATCGACGCTTCGAGAGATGAGAGAGAGAACATCGACGCTTCGAGCGATGGTCGCTCGTCCAAAAATCAGCCGAAACGGCCGAGATCGGAGCCGCGGGCGCGCGCTCCCAGAAAAAAAACATCGACGCTTCGAGAGATGATCGCTCGTCCAAAAGAAACGGCCGAGATCGCAGCGTTCGGGCATGTCGCACCCTTTCCCCGCCCAGGTACAACCTCGGCCGCGTCTTCTACCACGGGCTGCTCGGCCAGCGCGCGAACCGGCGCAACGCGCGCCTGCTCTTCGAGAAGGCCGCGAAGCGGCGCGAGAAGTGCGCCCAGGCCGCGCTGGGCTACATGTACGAGAAGGGCGAGGGCCGGTGCCGGAAACAACCGGTGGAATGGACCCGTCAAACCTCTCTATCTCGGTCAAATCGAAGTGGTTTCGGCTGCTTTTTGGACGGATCGTGTTTTCTCGGCGAGCCCTTTCCGGAGAGCCAAACGCTCGTGTCGAAACTGTTCGATCAACAGCATATCGACGTCGGGTTGCCTATTTTCGTTTCCCGCCCAGGCGAGGGCGACCTGAAGACGGACTACAACCACGCGAAGCGCTACTACGGCATGGCCGCGAACCAGGGCTGCGAGCGCTCCGCGTTCAACCTCGGGCACCTCTTCGAGAAGGGCCTCGTGATCACGGAGAACGACGTCGTCCGCTACGCGCTCGCGAAGCAGTGGTACGAGCGCGCGGAGGCGCTCGGCTACGCGCGCGCGGAGCAGCGCATCGCGCACATCGCCACGCTCGACGCCGCGTCGCCGGAGCCCACGGTCGAGGAGAAGAAGAAGGAGGCCGACTCGGACGTCGACGAGATGATGGACAGCGACAACGACGGCGAGACGAAGAACGAGCCGGGCGCGGGCCGCGGCTCCGAGGGCGCGAGCATCCTCGGGAGCCTCAACATACGGTAATGTGTGACGTCGGTGGGTTTTAGAGGGGGGGGGGGGGGGCGGACTGGGCCATCGCAAAACGACAAAACAGCTGCATGCCCCAGGATGATGTTGGCGATGCGTTGCAGCCTTGGGTGCAGCTCCGGCCTCCGTGTTGGACGACGCGTCATTGCTCGACCAGCCTCTGCGACACGCTGGGAAGCGCCGCGCAGCGTTCCGCCTACGTTTGATGTCCGCCTCTCTCGACGCTGGACGCGTGTCATCCCGCCTAGCTCGACGCACGGAGCTCTCATGGCCGGAGTTTTTTGTCACGCTTGGCTTGCTTAAGCATGCGCGTGAATCCTGGATGGGAACTAGGCGACACGTGACTCTACGACCGCGAGGAGAACGTTTTAAAACTGACTTCTATCCCAATGGGCTCTCCCTTCGGCTCCTGCAGTCCCTTCACTATATCTCGCGGCCCGACGAGAGCGCGGCGGCGGCCCGGCTCGCCCACGCGGCGCGCGGGTACGCGGCGCCGCTGCTCGAGGACGGCGCGCTCAAAGGCTGTTTTCGTGGTCTAGCCCGTCCGCTGCGAGATGACGATGTGACTCACGGCCACGAGGCCTACGCCGCGCCGGTCTTTCTTTCCGTAGATCGAGAGCAGGAAATCAAGGACGACATGAACGTCATGTGCTTAGAGATCGAGGACTACAAGGACGTGTCGCGCATGCTCCTCCTCAAGGCCGCCGCGCTCCTCGACCAGGGGCGCTACGACGACGCCGAGAAGCTCAAACTCATGCTGAAGCTCCTCGACTCCTACATGTGGATCGCTTTTTTCTGTTCACCGGAGCTATTGCGTCGATCCGAGCGCCTGACCGTCGTCCTGCGCGGCGACGTCGTCAAGCTCGTGAAGCAACTGGACACGATCGACCCCGCATTCCTTCTGGACCCTGCCGTCGCTGTCAATGCGGCCCGAAACGTTCGCCACCTGAGGTGCCGCAGCGACGGCCTCCTGCGCGACGAGGACTGGAACCTCTGGTCGGGGCAGCCCCAGGTGCCGCCGCCGCCGCGCGACGACGCGGCCCGGCCGGAGTCCGCGCCGCCGCCGCCCCAGGCGCCGCCGCCGCCGAGCGACGACGCGGCGCGCGAGCTGACCACGGAGGAGGAGCGCGTCGCGAAGGCCATCATCGCCTACTTCCCGCGGGGCATGCTCGACTGCCGGCGGGGCACGACGATCGAGGCGTACCTGGCCGAGAAGCTCCACCTCGAGCCCGCGCACGTGACGGAGCTCTTCGACGGCGACCTCTCCGTCGGCTTCGTGCCGTGCAAGACGGAGAACATCGAGTTCGCGCGCGCGCTCCAGGCGCTGCTGGTGCACCGCTTCCCGAGCCACTTCAAGGACGCGTCCGTCGCCTACGCGGCCTCCGCGGCGTCGCC